TTTACTGAGTTGCTATATCCTTTAGCAGGGTCGACAATAAAGCCAATGAAGCTCAATAATTATATAAATAGAGCTCAAAAAACTAGTATAGTCGTCCTCCTCCATAATCATGCAGTTTGTTTTACATAAAAAAGATGTGATTATAAAATTTTAATAGTATTGTGATTATATAAAGGTTTTATTAATAAGTAAATTGCCAATAATTTTTCAAAAAATAGTGCTTATAAAGAGGATGTGACTATATAGAAGGTAACTGTAGAGGAGAACGACTGTATCTATTAACTTTATTCAGAGCTTCATTAGTTTTATTCACAGCTCCATTAGACTCTATTGAACTCTATTATCAACTTTGCTTCTTAGATATAGGTATAATCTAACAGTAAAATATATAATATAGATAATTTTAAAAGAGAAATTTCAAAATTATTCATGACAAATAAACTCAATTAACTCTTTCCAACGATCACTTGGACCAAAATTTTCCAAAAAACTTTTATTGGAAAAAAAACAAAAATATCTGGACTAGCCTATGAGATGCAGAAAGAGGGACTATAAGAACAGCAGCTATTATTTAGAGATAGTTCTCATATGCTACCTACTAATAGCTTCAGAGTTTATCACTTATTGCAGGCACGGCACTTGTTGTTTAGAAGTAGTTCTTATACGCTACTTGTCGACAAGCTTAGAGTTTATTACTCACTGAAAAAACTTAGTCCTGTGCATGGATAGGTCTAGATTGCTGATGATTTTAATAAAAGAATACACACTTCTTTGGTTGGTATAATGGATCTTTCCTCCTCTCTCGCCTTTTGCCGAATATCCAAATTTTTCGAAAAAAGTAGACGATTTGGCTTACTCCCTACAAAAGATCAGTATTGTTTATACTTACCTAATTCGGACGAACTTAGTAGAATGCAATCACGTGTTTGTTTTGTTTATCGAATACAGTGCTACGATATGGGAAGAAGACTGGTGCCCCATTTAAGAGATACCCAAATTGAGTGACATGTTCGGAACGAGTTCTTAATGATAAAGTAATGCTTTACAATTGAGATATATTAATAGTTGTAATTAATGTATAATTTTTTAGGCCTTAGCACAGGCATAATGAGTGCTATCATACTGTTTTCACTTTTTTCTTTATGTTTTTCTTTTTTCGACATCTGTGTTTTTGTTTTTTCTTTTTGTTTTTGTTTCTTTTTCTCTTTCTTTTCTGTTTTTTCTTTTTCGTTTAGTTGTTTTTAAACTTCCCACTTTTCATCTCATGCCCCTTGAGAAGAAGGAAAAATTTAGAAGAGAAAGTTGGCAGTCTTGATATGGCGGATAGATGCCAGCCAGTGACCAAAGGGAATAAATTCTTAGTGAGTTAAGGATCCGGAAAGAGGCCAAGATCTACTAAAGCAGATCGCACCTGGACGATAAAAAGTCGAGGGTGAGTCTCTATTTCAGTTAGATTAGCAATAGCTACAGATAGAAAGTATAGGTCTTGAAATATAGAAATGTATAATTCTTGAATAGCTTAATCTCAAATAAATAGAGGCAGGATTGCCGAATTATAAAAAAATTATTCATGACTTACTTTTATCTGAACTAATTTCAGACTGGCTCTAAAAAGTTTGGTCCTAGATACACCTGAACCCAGTATTGGATGATGACAATATCATAATGTTATATGATAATTTATCTGATATAGAATCATAAAAATCACATGTTATATAATAGAAAATCATGTTATATTATTAATATATAATGCTTTATATAAGATTGTTATATGACAAATCATATAAATCATATCATTTATATAACATCATAATTCAATACTACCTGAACCAGTTTTTTGTAAACTACTTAACATTCCTATTCAGAATTTACTAATATATTCGAAAACTGCCTATGGGCATATTTGAAATAGTATGCAGGTATTTATAATAGCATGCAGATACCTATTATTTCAAGAATTTATAGTAATAAAAATAAAGTCAACTATGTTCTAAATTTATTCACTATTTATATTTACTTTATAGAACTCCAAATCAACAATATATAGGGATGAGTCAATAGAAACATACCAAATTTTTTCTAAGTAAATTTTTTTACATCTTTGAACAAAAATAACTCAGCAATAACTTAGGCAAATTTAATAAAAATTTTTTAAATTAATTTTATAAACTTGTAAAATTTATTTTAAAAAAAATTGTATTAAATTTAATTAAGCTTTGTTGAGTTATTTTTGTTCTAAGATTCATTAAAAAAGATTGGTGCATTTCTACTGACTCACCCCATATGTTTAAGGTAGATTTCGGAGTTCTGTGAATTCAGAATCTACTTAAGTGGATTTTTAATCTTAATACTTGCATCTTGAATTTCTTTGATCAATTTGGTTGATCAAAAATCACACCTATATCGTTAGTCGATTAAGCCTGCTAGGCCGATTTTTATAACATCGACTTGGTCGATAGTTTAGGCCTCAACTACTTACACTAGTTACTATACTTTGCCGCTTCTTATTAAACTTTAGAATTAATACACTAATACATAAGGCTCCATTCTTACCTATAAAACGCTGTCATTTTATTGCTGGGTTTATAATATTACATGACGGAGGCGTTGGGTTATTCATATTTATTTAATTAATTTGATTGGTGAATGGTCACATTTAAATTAGCCAATCAAACGAATACATTCCAGTGAGAAAACGTTCCCTCACTGGAACTCTGGAAGAATCTGGGCGTCCAATGGGGTTCCAGTCTATATAAACCACTAATCCTAACTGTATCAAAGGAGTAACTCTAACACACCTGATAGGGTGTACGTCAAAAATTTTTGACTACAAATGAACCAGTCAGAATGCAGAAAAAAATCCATGTGATTTTAAAGTTTTAGCCTGACCAATTAGAATAAAAAATTGGCCAATCAGTGTGCAATTCGAATTATCGAAATAATATTTGATGACTATAATCACTAGGGGTTGGATATTCCAATCCCATATTTGATTGGATAGATCCAAGCCCAGCCCATAAATGATACGATCCATGGATCCAAATTGTTTATTAAAACAAGTTCGAGTTCGTAATTTTGATGTCAATGATAGAGATACACCTATAATTTTGGTCAGTCAGATTAAATATGCAGTAGAATCGTCCCAATGAATTTTTTGAAAGTTACGGTTACGATCATGTCGTAACTTTTATTAAGCTACAAATAAGTGTAACCATAATTTGTCGTATCTCAAAAATTCATTGGGAGCATCACTAAATATGATTACCCATGGGTTTTTGGATCTGGATCCAAATTTTTAAGACCAAGATCGGCTCATGCAGTACCAATCCATGGATGCTCCATGGATAAACCGGCCCATGCGGAACCCAAGTAATCACGTTACAAATCATATGATATCATATAATTTACATCGCCAATTTATTTTTTTTAAATATATATTTTTTTAAAGTTAAGTTTAAATTTTTTTTTAATTTGTTATATTAAGGCTATATAAACTTAATAAATTGGTTCTCGTAACCGGCCGGATCAATTTTACAAAGCTTTAAAAAAAATTTTAAGTATATTTACTATCCAGGTGAGTTGTTCTAAAAAATCTATAAAAAATTTTTATATATAATTTTTTGAACATACCGGGTTGACGGGTCACTTATAAAAATTTTAAGTTATGAGAACCAATTTATTAAGTTTGTATGGCCTAATATAGTTGATAAATGGGAAGACCAATATTTAGTTATATTAACGTTAAATTCCGTTACTGCTTAACGTTAAGTTTTTAAAACCTGAAATCACTTAGCGTTAGGCTGAATTTGCATAATTACTTCAAAAATCATCGTTATAATTTTTGAGTTTTTTAATTTATTAACCAGTTAATAATGTTGAATCATATTTGTTAAGGGTACAGTATTTGTTAGATAATTTTAATCTCCATATCGATTAAATTATTTGGTGGTCATGCTTGGTTCGCCTCTACCCCTATTATAAGCAGTGCTACCAGAATAACAATAAAAGATTTGGGTAGATCAGCGTAAATTAAACATAAAAAGGCTAAAGTACCATAATTATAGTGTTTTAACACGACAGTCCGGAAGGCCTAAAAGGTTAGTTTGTCCACAATACATTAATGGAACTTCGAGGTTATGTATGTACGTACATACATGAATAAAGCTAAAGACGAGGCACATTATCACATGATATATAATCACGCGAAAATATTCGATCGCATGAGATCGGAATAGGCCGGCATTAATTTTGTCTAGCTCTGAATAAGTTTTGCCTGGCTATTTTGCTAGTAGGAATAAATAATCTATATAGTGCGTAATTTTTATCGATATACTAATTCCGGGGGTCGTCTAAAGCCTGGCACCTACCTGATATTGTCCCGGATTATTCCGAACGAACAGACAAAGACAAAAACACGAGAAAATTGCGGTCTTGATGCACTAAGTAAAAGTGTCGGAAATGCGATTTTACTATATATCTCCTCCTAGCTTGATGTAAGCTTGATGTCTAACTCTAACCCTAATTCCGACCGTCGATCTGCTGCGCCACTAATCTACCCATGAAGTACGTGTAACCATATTGAGCAGGCGCAGACATATATTAGCAAACAAAGACTATATTCCCCCTTTAAACTCTCGAAAGCTTTTCCATTTCTAAAGCTCATCACCTTAAGTTTCATTGACGCTCTCGCCTGGAGGGCATATTTTCTGTCAAAGAATAGATCTTGGTGAACTACTGTCTCAAAAAAAACCAAAACGTGCTTCATCCCGGTAACATTGGTGATTAGTTAATACGATAAAATATAACTAAAACTATATAATTTTTTATTTTATTTTATCAAAAACAGCTTGGTTTTAGGAAGCTGTAGTAGTAAGTCTAATACTTCCACTGTCCCAACTTATAAAAACCCCTAGTTCCTCAACTCGAAACACACCAAGACTTTTCTAATCATATAACCAAACTTTACCTGAATTATTCAAGTTTTTATTTGACGATCAACCATGAGAGAATCAAACTTTTCTTTTCCTTCACAAAACCGTGCTTCTGTTTGTATTACATCTGCTCTATATGACCGTAGAGCTCTCGACTGCACGGCCATCTTACCTCTAATCAATTCCCTTACACATCTTACCTATTTAACGAGTACTTCCCCACGCATCCGAGAGATTCTTACGATGGACGGCGGACTAGAACGCTTGGTTCGTATATTGAAAACTACTAAAGTTAATGATAAAAGAAGTGGTTGGAAATGGTCTATGGCATTTCAGTGTGTTGCGAACGTTGGTGTACGTGGCTCTGAGGCTATTAGAACGAGAGTTGTGGATGCTGGTATGGTACCGGTTATCATAACTGTATTGGACAATTTTTTAAGGGCACTTGATCATGTTAGACTGGAAAAAGAACAACAACAACAACAGCAATTGCTCGCAGCACAGTTGCTGCCATCTCAAAATCCACCTTTAATTACGAGATCGCCATCCCCGCAAATTCCTCTTACGACTGCTTTCGTTGGAGCTTTAGAAAATGGTAACGCGTCGAATCTTATTCAGATGTCTGATGAATCTGAACAACCTCTAACATCTTATCCTCACTCACCTAATTCAACATCCATTTTTCCTTCTGATTATCAAACTGACGATTCTGACATCTCTCATGTTGGTTCATCAAATATGCAATCTGTGATTTCAACAGCTGCCGCATCCACGAATAGGTTTTTAGCAAATGTTACGACAACTTATGATATAAGATCGTCTGATGATGCAAGATCAGATGTGGCATCTTGGGGTTCGGTTGCAGATAATGAAGAAGCTGTTTTAACCACAACAGTACCACAGTTACCATCAGCAATGACTGGTACAAATGGTACAAACATAACTCCAAGCATACGAACAACTCCGACACCCAACAATACACCACCAACTAATCCGACTACTCAATCAACTTTAGAAATTGACGTCCTTTATCGTGAAGAAGATATTCTCTTATCTCTTCAATTGCTAGCCTATCTTTCAAAGTATCCTCATTTACGCGCTACATTCCACAATGCTTATCCACCTCATAATGTATTTTCTCTTGTGGAAAAATTCACTCATCGTCTTCATCCTGGTGAAATTCAATATTGGGCTGGTGTTATTATGCGCAATGCCTGTCGTAAAGATGAAGAACGTGGCGGAATTCGTCAGTGTGCTTATATGGCTTGTGGCAAGTGGGAGAGTTTTCCAAGAGAATTTGCAAAATGTCGGAGGTGTCGTAAGGCTAAATATTGTTCTAAGGCCTGTCAGTCAAAAGCATGGAGTGAAGGACATCGATGGTGGTGTATGGAACGACACAGTCACGGTGATTCTGATAGCACAACTTCTAATGGTCAAACAACATCTACCGCTAGCACATCTTCGGGACTAAATGTGCATCGTTCCCGCTCAACAAATTTCGTTCATTCTACAGATAACATAGCGAGATCAACAAATCGTGAAGCAACGCCAACGACGGTAACGGCTGGTGCAGGTTCCGAATCTGGATCTGTTTTAGTATCGTAATGGTATTGTTTTATTCTACTTTTAGTTGATTCGTAAGGCAAGGTTTTTACAACCTTATGAATTATGAATTTACTTTTAAGTATATTTGTTATAATTACTATCTGTTTTATTAGTCTTTGTGAATCATAGTTTTTTCCTTGTTTATAATAGTGTTTCTGTCTGTATGTGCGATATGATGTGCTTGCTTTTTTTTCCTTTATGCGTTTTTATTTCCCCTTTTCTTTTCAGAGTTGGTGATAGTGTTATTCTGTTTGGGTAGAAGGAGGGGAGATTTTTGTCGTGCTTGAAACTTTGAAAACAATTGATCGATCTTATATATATATTGTATTTTTTGTTAGACTTATTCAATCTGTATTTCTCTCGCATGTTTTGCAAAATTCCTCGATTCCGCGCAAATCACGCATTTTGGGCTTTATTTATCAACATCCCCTATCCTTCTATTATCCACTTCCATTTTAGCATGTATACAAACTTTGTTTTATGTATATGCGAAAAAAAGCATGTCTGTATTTCTTGTACCAGTTGGTTTATGTAGTCAGGTGTATGTTTAACATAGAAATATTTTTTTTTTAGATTTATTGCAAATCTTAGTCTTATGTTTTATAATTGCATGTGTGTTCTGCTATACTTTATCATGTTTGGTTTTGTAATATGACATTGGATTATTGTGCAACATTCTTAATTTCGATCAGTGCATTCTCTTGCAGGTCATGAAGTTTAAACGGGTGTATAATATGTGCTTTAACGTATTGGAGGAAACAAAAAATATCTTATTAATTGCATCAAATTTGATGATACTCTGATTTTTCACATAACAGGATTTGTTTACGCCGTTAATACGTTATATATTCAATAAGAAAATTTTAACTTGGGCGTACGCAAGTATATATACAATAATTTTTTTGCATAGATAAACGTTTCATTGACGCAATTATCATATTATAAATACTCCAAATATATATTCATTGTTCGCTTAACTCGGAATGCATTGTTGAATCATTGGGAACTATCCAATGGCCGCATAATTAGTAATTAAGAAAAATATTTGAGAAAACCAAAAAGTCTAACTATAAATTACTATAATGAATAATATCAAATTTCCCGGGTTTCACTTGGAAACACCCATTTAATTTTTCATCTCTATATTGTACGTAGGAACTGTATGCAAGTTTTTGTGATAATTTAGATTAGATCCACTCTCTAAAAAGCTAAAATTTATTTAAAAGAATAACTTAATATACTTACTGGAGATGAATTTGGCAGGTATAATATTTCAAAATATATATAGTTAGTAATTAGTGTTTGGTATACAAAATAAAAATACTCAGTGCTCTAAAATATAATCTTTAAGCCCAATTTTAATTCTAAAGTCTAAACAAATTTGTTTAAAAGATTTATACCAATTTTATTTTGACTCACCGAAGATAAAATTCACCGGTTATGTTCAAAAACGGTTTGTCAATTGGGTATTTGGTACACTAAATAAAAACATTTAGTCCTTTAAAAAACCCTAACCTTTACTCTAATTAAGCTCTAAATTTCAATTAAAACAGTGATAATTTTTACTTTCATATTAAATCAATTTTATTATGATTTTTTGTTTTAAAAAAAAAAATTTTATGTACGTTGTATTTTTTTTAACTTTGGCAGTCTTACTAGCGCTACGTAGTGAAACTTTATTAAGATTTTTAGCAATAATTGCATATTATATATGTTGTAAATGGGATGGAACTAGAACAACAAATAATAGGGTTCTGAATCCACTTAGATTAGAGCGGAATAATTATATACTAAAAATTCCAACCCTAACCTTAAAAATTCCGAATCAACTTAAATCCTATTTCCACCTATATACGATACATATTTTTTTAAACATAAATCTTAACGCTCACCGGAAGTAAAATTCACCGGGTATGTTGTTTCTCAAAAACGGCACTGATAATTGGTATTTGGTATACTATTAAAAATATCTAGCATTCTACAAAAACCCCTAACCTCTACCTTAATTTAAGCCTTAGACCTAACCCTAAGTTTAATTTTAGCTTTAAAATTGTAATAAAATTTTTTATAAATTATATAATAATAAAAACATATGGTGAATTTTATCTCCGGTAAATACTAAATAAATCTTAATATTATTTAACTATATAATTTTTTGTAAAGTACCGTATTTCGCCATATAACCACCCCGTTTATAGTAGACCCCACGTGATTTTTTACTAATAATTTTCTTTTTTTTACTAATTAAATAAGAGGGTGAAATGTAAGAGATCCCGGGTGGTTTATATGCGAAATATGGTATTTAGATACAGTATATAGTAATTTGAGATAAAATATAATATATTGTATGCCTGCTCCTTGGTGTTTTATGTATTGTAGGCTTTGTCAACAAGTTTGCTTCTGCAAAACCAAGAATATTGTTGTGTTTACTTAGTCTTTTTTCTATATCATTTACTGTAGTTTGGCTATTTTGTTGTTGACTGAGGGATCATTGGAAAGAGTTTATAACAAAATTTTTTGTTAGTATGCAGAATGTAATTTAATAAATAGAATATTAAGTTAGAGAGATAACAAAAATCAGGTGATTTTTTAGAAGAGAGTAAAGGTAAAAAATTTAAAATTATATATAAAGACCTAATTAAAATATATCATAATAAAAAAAATAAAATAATAAATAACATAACTTTTATAAGCAAGTTTGGTTTGGTTTAATTTTTGTATTTTTTTATATTATATCTAATTTTATAATTATTAGCTAAAGAGTGTTGTGACTTAGTAAAGTGATTAAGTTGTCACCTTCAAATAATATGTTAGTAGATAGGAATTCAAAATCTATTGATAGTAAAATTTTAAATATTCTGCTTGTATAACAGCTATTGTTTTTCAATAATTGGTTGAAACTAGATTGGCATGAATAGAATTTGGACAATGAAAACCTGTCCAATGTCTGGTGTTTAAATTGTTTAATAAAAAGCAATAGACATAGGATCGGATATCAGATAACTTTCTTACTATATAATTGGCCATTTAATCTACCACATAACAGTCAACCAATCAAATTGCATTGTATGCAATAGATTAGCTGTAACAATCTTAACCTGTGATTAGTTTTATTACTATAACTACTTTTATTTATATTTATATTGCATGTCAAAATCGATTCCAAATTAATGTTTCAATATGAATTTGTTAGAGAATTCAATTACACATAATAAGTAGATTTAAAGTTAACTTCAATTTAATTAATGTTATATAGTGAGAATGATGGGTAAGCATTAATTGATAAATATATTTGATAATGGTAATTAAAATTTGAATTTTCAGGCAAATCTTGGCTTAATTCGTTATAATTTTCTAATTTATTTGTTAGATCACTTTATATTGTAAATTTTTTTTAGACAAAATGACCAAATTGTAAAAATAAATCTCTTGATAGTAAATCTGATAATAGATATGTAAAACTTCTATTACAAGAAAATTATAATTTTCAAGACCTACTAAATACAACTTTTAGAGCTAATGATAATGATAATGAAAACATTAATTAGCATCAGACATATTACTAGATATTGAACAATTATCCGAATTGTCCTATTCAATTTTATCAAATATTGTCTGGTGGTAACTTTAACTATATCTCATTAGACATCAGATATTATATAGGATAATTCAGAAATGTCTGATGTTCAATAAAACTACTGATATGTTATTTGTACAATCCTGGTTGAAACAAAATTTTTGTAACTTTGATAGTACTAACAAGATTAAAAGATTATAAAGCATTTGTGCAATGCATAAGTTAAACAAAGGTATGCAAGCTGTATTAGGCTATACAAATCCAAAATAAGTTTTCATGATCATATTAATCCAAGAAATCAAAAAGATGGATGTTTGCTTGGCAAAATCAGAGTAGAAAAGTAATATAAACTTGTTTATTTGAATAGGCTTTACCTAAGACTAGTTAACTAAATATAACAAGAATATTTAGCAAGTTGCTCTACCAACCAGGTTACTGGTTTAAGTATTAATTAAAGAAAAAAAATCAGCTGATATTATAAACTAATATCCCTTTCAGGCTATCTGAATTAGTAATCTGAGAAACTAGCTAAAGAGTATTGAAAAGAAAGGTACCAGGTTGTTTTGAAGAGAAAGTATCAGAGTTTGAGCAAACTTTACAAGAGCTAAATAGGTAATGATACTTGTTTTTAAACTCAATATAAGCTATCAAAATAGATTAGATAATACAGTAATAGTGGATATCAGACTGCTCTAGCAAGTAATAACCTTGAAGATAAATTGATTAAGTAGCTTGCAATAATCTTAAAACTTGAACTGACTAATATATTATATATTCTGAGTAAGATTAATGGATTAATATAGAAACTTAAATCAGAGAGTTTCAATATACTTATTTGAAGCTCTCTTAAAAATAGCATCACATAATTTTACAAGCCAAAAAGGTTAACTTTAACTATAAAAAAAAAATCTACTAGTTAATAAATTTTTTAAATTAATAATACTAGAACAGTAATATCCAAACTTTCAAATATTTAAATTAAATTTTTTTTTTTAATGTTAAAATGACCACTTTGGGGTCTGGCACATTTTATTAAACTTTGGATCAAATGCCAGGGCAATCGTATAGGCTACCCTAACTTTGTTACATTAATGAGGATATATTCTAATCATATCTGCACCTTTTGAACACCTAATTAAGTAGTTTCCTATTACTAAGTACTACACTAGATGCTATATCTGTAATCTACTATTACTTGAGTTACCCAATTAAACCCTCTAATTAACTTAGTGCTATCAGATATTCTTTCCAAAGAGGAACTGCCACTAAGGCCCCTTAGGACTACTTTATCCTTGTGATAAACCTACTAGAGTGGTCTATATCCCACATATATATCACCTAGGTTTTCGGTAACTTATGCCTAGGCTACAGCCAAGTATTTGCAACTTTTTATTTCTACTACTGTTACCTACTCTGTGCCTTT